TAATCAATACATCTACATGTCTTTGAGGACACTCTTAATTAAGAAATTGTTTTTCAAAATCAGGTTGCCATATATTGTTTGTATTGTATTGTACTGGGTCTTTGTAAGAATTCTTGGCCAAACCCCATTGTTTTTATTTTGAACAACCCCTGAACTCAATACTTTTTAGTTGCATATCATTAGTGCTTTTGTAGTGTAAGTCACTGTATTTTATGAAGCCATTCTGAAATCTATTATAATGTACTAAAGAGGTCACTGTAGTTTGGGATTATTTCCAAAGAGAATTTTTGGGTATTAAGTTTACTGTGGTGGCATCTAGATCTAGAGACATATGAAGACCTGATAGTTCCTTGGTTTCTGTCCAGCCTGTTATCTGGATCTTCTAATTTGCAATACCATCTTTTATCTGTGGTATGACCTCTACCATTGACTTTGATCAGCACTAAGAGGCAGGCAGCCAAAATAGCAGCAGGCAAAAATAGAACATCATTGTTAGAAACGCCTTCAATCAAGTGAATTCTGGTAGTTGTTCTTCCTCCCAAAACCTCTCATGCAATAACAAAGGTATTTGTGCCCTAACTGAATAATGATATGCTAAACTCCCTCTGAACTACAACTTCTATTGTAGTTCTTCTTACAGCCCAGCTTCCTGGGTCCCAAAACAGGCCATAATGCACTTTTGTATGGCTGGTAATGAACCATTTCAAATGAATACTGGATACTGGAGGAATTACATGCTGTGTAATTGATCTAAAGAACAGATTAGGACTGCTGCTATTTCATTAAATCTTATTAGCTCTGACTTAAGTGCTTAAAATTGCAGCTATCCTGTGTCAGATAGATTACACCCTTTGTCACATGGCAAGTGAGGTTTTCATCTACTAGATCACAGTTTTTATAAAGGAACAGGCTGATGAAAAGCAATATAAATGAAGGACCATGAAGGCTTCATCTTCAGACACATTGAGCCCCAAATGATTCATTTAACTGAGAGAAATCAACACTTTCAAAATACGTATGAAGACCTGTTGTTTGTTTCCATATTTCGGTCTTAGACCACTTCTGTGGAACCTGAGTTTGGTTTTTAGCATGTGGATCAGCCCTGAAGAGTTCTGGTGGATGAGATCTTATATGATTGCAGGGCAATCCAGTGGGTCCTTCCAAAGCATCAACTTTTCTCTTGGTTCCTTCCCACTGCAGCTTGGCATGCCTCAGGAACCAGCAGGCCAGGCAAGCTAGAGGGCAGTTCTGGCTGAGGAATATATGGATTCAACCAAACCAGAATTAAATTCAGCTTGGAAAATAGTTTGTAGCTCTCAAAAAAGAAAGGGCTTTTTATTACCTTAGGACTCAACCTAATTTTTAGGGACCCTGACATGCTTAGAAAAGTGTATTTTTCCTGGTTTGCCTTTGACAACAGCCTGCTAGACTTTCTTACCAGTATGCTGGTCTTTCTTACCTTCTATTCTTTTGTCCTATGACCTAGTATTTAGCTCCATAATCCCCTAAATCAAACAAAATAGCATAGAAAGCCTTTGATCTGAATTTTCTCCACAAGGGATATTACACTACATTGAATACTTTTCATGAGATCTAGAATGCTGCACTGTGGGAAACAAGACTGAAAATTTGAATGCCATTAAGCAAGATTTCAGATTATAGTAAGGGGTGAAATAGTGAGAAAAGAGCCATAGACTTTGGTTAAAACAGATAATACTCAAGGCTTTTTTTATTATTATTCCTTTGATGAGAGAATATTTAAGACCCTCTCACATGCAGAGTCACCATGTTAGTACCACAGCCAAAGCAGTGGTTCATACAGATAAAGAATAAAGTAAAATTAATCCAACAGATGTGTTTTGCAAATATAAGAAATTGTTCCAGCAAGTCTTAAAAAAATGACAATCACATAAAATACCAACTCCACCTTTTAAGAGTTATTTGATTTCTTTTATATTATTATGTAAATCTCAAAGCCATTTATCTAGCACAAAAACCTGTTTTCCTTCTTATACCCTAAGTCTGGTTCTTGCAAGCTCCTGCAGCTGGTGGCCTTGGCACTCAAACCTGCCAGGACTGACCACTCTCAGACATTGTGGCCACAGTCAAATGCTCTGCACTGAGCACTGAGGGGCTCAAAATTCCAAGATAACCAATTCTCCTTCATCGTGGTGGTGTCACAGTGAAGGTTTGAAATCTCCCTTGAAATCTCTGCCAGTAAACACAGATCTATCTGGTCCTCTCTGCTTCAAAGCTCCTAAACTGCCCATGCAAGGCTCCTTTTAGGAGAGAAGATTTAAACCCTGGGATTCCTCTGAATATTCAGCTTTCCTTTTTCATTTACCCAGGGTTTGGAAGGCTTGCTGCCCCACTGCCAACCAAGGATCAAATGTAGATTGCTAATTCAAGACAAGGAAAAATAAAAGGGAAAAAGAAAGCACATGGCATATTTGCTTCTGTTCAGTACTGTAACTTTATGCTCTAATAGGTATTTACTAGTCACACTGATATATAATTAATTTCCACTTCCTGCCATGTTCATATAGAATAGTTAGCACTTACTCACTGGAAAGACAAAAAAATGAGTGTGAATGACCTGTTATTACCCCAAAATCTCACTTGGCAAAACCATCTTTTCCTTCTTTTGCCTTCTCACCTCCCTCAAGGAGTAGAACTCCATCAGAGCAAACAAAAGGAGAATACAGCTTTCATACATTTTAAAAGGTGGAAATTGTATTTGGAGAGAAGATGAAAACTCACAAACTCAGTCCTGTACAAACCCTTCAATATCTGCTGCATAGATGGTAAATATAATTTTAAGTTGTCTGATAGCTTAAGATAAGGAAGTTAAATGCAGGGCAGCTGTTCCCAATCTATATTTAGCCTGAAATTTCCTACCTGTTTTGGACCTGCAGGAAGGCTTGACTACTGAGATTGTCCATGATTTTATACAGTATTGCTTGATTTATTAAAGATGCTATTCTCCCTGCAGGTCTTATTACACTGTTCAAAAGGTTGTGTATAGCTTACCACAAACACAGAATTTTAACCAATTTCGTATCTAGACTCTCACCCAGAATTATTCTTTTGTACATGTTCATGTGTAACCCAGTCCATGAGACATGAATAAAGATCAGCAATTAGCCACAAGTAAACTCCAGGAGAATTGCTTTGTATTGCATCTTGCACACTCTATTTCAAGAATAAAATTGGGGCAAAATATAGTGATATGCTTTCCAGATACTAACCAAAAGTTGACAAGAACTGATGGATTTTGCATGTTAAAAGTAAATATTTTATTACATATCATGCCCTTGAAAAATTAACTTTGTTTCCATTCTATTTTGTTCAGCATGCCTTGAAATATGAATGGCAAAAGTTATTCAAGGAACAGATCACCAAGATTCACGGTACCACAGTGACTGTAATTACCTATTTTCCTGGCTCAGTAAAACATAACAATTAAAAAAAAATTATAAAATATTAAACTGTGAAATTAACAGATACCATCTGTGTCTCTCCTTCAGTATGACTTCAGTATGGCATAATCTGTACAGAAAAGCTGTGTGTCATGGACCTACATCCAAAATCTGCTGATGACAGCAGTCATCAATTTTGGCAGCCTTTTGGATAAGACCTTGTCACTGCTCTGTCCATATGCACTGATCCTGCAGGAATCATTATCAAATTCAGGTTCACAAAGATGCTGCTAATGGGTCAGCTACAGTAAAATATTTATATTTCAGAGTAACAGTATTTATATATGCTCCCTACCTCTTGCTCTAATTTGCCTTCTTATCTCCAGGCTTGTGTTTGTTTTTCAAATGCTGAAAGGACATTGTTGGTTTGTTCAGGAAATTTGTCTAGACAGTGCTCACAAAGTATATTTGCTCACATTTGACATTTTCACAGGATGGGAAACAAAATGGAAGATCCAAGTTTTTAAGCTCCACAGATGGCACCTAAACCAGTCAATTTATTTCCAGATTCAGGAGTATCCTTGTTCCAGGCAGTCTCTGGAACAACACAACAGTGACCTGCAAGACAGGGACCCACACACACACTCAGGGCTTTGGGGCCAGCTGAGGCCTCCTGAAATCCATCCATCATCCATCCATCCATCCATCCATCCATCCATCCATCATCCATCCATCCATCCATCATCCATCCATCCATCCATCCATCCACCATCCATCCATCCATCCATCCATCCATCCATCCATCCATCCTCCATCCATCCATCCCTTCATCCATCCACCATCCATCCATCCATCCATCCATCCATCCATCCATCCATCCATCCATCCACCAGGACATTTACTGCCTCAGAAGAGCCAAATACCAAGTGCTAAATTGTGATGCCTTTACAGCCAACAAATGTAAAATGTGGCAATAAAACGGAGCATGTGGCTATTTATTTTACTATTTAACATTTACCTGTGTCTAACTAGAAGAGGTCTCTAAAATGCTGCTTTCCAGCAGCCTGAAGGTTGAGAACCACCTGTAAACATTTGCAGAACAGTCTCTTTCTAGAATCAGAGACTCCTAATCAATCAACCTTGAAATGTATCATATATTATAATATATTTCCAGTGTTATTTACAGATCTTCTTGTTTAGTACAATGAACCAGACATGCTGAAAAGGTAGAATTTTTCCAGTCCTCTTTTATATGAAGTACAATAAAAAAGGCACATAATTATTCACCATAGGAGTTGTGCACCAGTCCAAAACTTAAAGCTAAAAAGCTACCCATCAGAGAACTCTCTTTATGAGGCAGTATTGGGATGTCTCCTTTGAACTCAGCATAGAAAGATCTGTCTGTCAATTCCTCTAGGAGAGCTTAAGGAATCCACTTTCCTGTTATGTTCTGGTCTTCACAAGATTTCCAAAATCTACAGAAAACTCTCATTAAGCTTCCCACATCATCTGCTGGAGCAAGGAAGAGTCAAACAGGGGGCGTGTGTGTCTGCTTTCCTTTTTCTTCTTTCTTTCCTTGGAATGCCCAACCATGGAGGACTCTTGAGAGCCAAGAGCTGTTCAAAGTAATTTGCTTGAAGACAAATGCCCCACGAGATATGGCACACTGAGCAATGGACACCAGCAGGAGAGGCAGCTCAGCACAGTCAGTGCCGACCGTGTTTGATCCAGTTTCTGATCATCCATTTCTGCCCCGAGCACCTCTGTACAACTAATCTGAGCCCAAAATTTGCATCCTTTGACATCTCCACTTCTAGACAACGGCCAGTGTCTCTGCTGATGATTGGACCATTCTGGGAAAAGAATAAGAAGGGAAAAGAAAAAGGATTAGAGGAAGGAGCACAAAAGGTGAACAGACTAGAAAAAAACAGTGCTAGATCTGTAAATCCTTAAAAAACATTATAAAATGCATTTCTGTATACATCAAGTGATAAATGCCTCAGAAAGTGAATGCTAGAAATTCCTATGGAAAGCTACCTAATACATAAAAAGTACCAAAACAATTCCTTGATAATTTTACATTTAGGAATTGCTGGGGAAATCCCCCTAAATCACTAGAAAATCTCTAAAAACCACTAGTGAATCCCTACAAAGCCCAAGAAATAGGAAATCCTAGAGACTGTAAAAGTGCTTTTCAAAGTCTTAAAAATTATTTGAACATTCTAGATATTAGAAAATGCCTATAAAGGTGCTAGAAAAATTCTAGAAGAATGGTAGATGTAAAAGCTCCTGGACAGTAAACAATTTCAAGCATGTTCTTGATGATTAGGACAGAAATTGAGAATATTCCAAGACAGGATAAGAAAAAACTCTGAGAAAGTATACCCAAAATTTTCTAGTAATAATGAAAGTATATTCCTGGGTAGCACATGGAAAACATATCTGACTATTTTTAAAAAGTACTGGGGGGAATTCCTAGTATAGCCCTCCAAAGACCTCTCCTTGTTTTTCATTAAATACTCTCTAGAGCATCACTCCTCTCCAGTTCATCTCTTCAAGGCTTCCTGAGCTCTACTTTAGCACCTGTGTGAAATCCCAGAACCTCTGTGCTGGCCTCAGGACGTCTTCACACTTCTTGAGGGTGGGTGTCCTGCCCTTGCCATCGTCCACCAGGCATTTGGAGTCGGGCAGGAAGGCGGTGGAGCCCAGTGGCCCCAGCTGCAGGACACCTTCCGAGCTGTAGCGGACAAGCTGGGGGAGAAAGGAGAGTTCTGAGCTGCCGAGGAGCCCTCGGTGCTGCCTGCAACACGGTGCTCAAGGGCAAATCTTGGGAATGTTGGTAAAACCTAGAACACGACATCCCCATCTCCCACACCTCTGCTCCCCACCCACTATGCCACTGCAAAAAGGGCAATCAAGGCAGTGAAGTAATCAATATGTAAATCGTGCCCACTCAGCAGGAGTTGATTTAACAAGGACACAATGTCAATTTTGTGGCGCAGTTTGTTCTTAAGAGCTCTGTTAGAGGCTATTGATAGCAACAAGTCTAATTAGTTTTTGTAAATAAACATAACTGAAAAAATCCAACCATGCAACCAGTATCCAAAAATATGAGAGAAAAAAAAAACCATGAGGGAAATGGCATCAAATTTGCTAACATATGCTTCAGGCCTACATAGTAAGAATGACACTCTGGTATTTCAGTTTTGTGTAAAGCACATTAAAACAAAAATGCACGATGCTAATTTGGCAGCAGGCCAATACATCAAATCAGACTTATCTACTTCTCACTTCTGTGCTTAAACCCAGAGTCATTAAACCAGCATAATATTTTGCCCTTCTTACTCTGAAAGTGCAACGCTCAGGTGCCAAAAGAATGCAGAGTGGAGTCAGCTTTGTGGCTTGTGTGCTGTGAGTCTGGACGCTGCAGGGTGAGCATCTGAGCCACCAAAGAAATGCAATTTCCACCCAGCAAATTCACTGCCTGTCTGGTCCTATTGCTGCTATATGGCTGAAATTGCTTAACAAGAATGGGAAGGAAGGTCAGAAGTGCCTGGCATTTATTGGATGCCACTGACCAGTGTGTGAGATATCATTAAGAGTCAATCAAAAAAACCCAAATTAGAGTCTGGCTTTCTACTGCCATTCTTATTAACCTCAGAAGAATCATGCTGTGAATAATCATTTCTTGCTGGTGGTAAAAAGAGCATGGTCTACTTGCTCCCAGACCAGATGCTCTTTGACATAGTATGTGTTCATTTTCCCACCTGCCACTTCTGTTCAGAGCAGCCATGTGAAGCACAGAGGTGGAAGAGAGCCTACATCAGAGAGAGCAGAGAGAGAACCACACGAGGATGCTCTGGGTATGAACGGTGCCTTTGTCAGGGCACAGTCTGTACACACTAAATCAAGACCCTTTTGGGGTTTTTTCCACTCTCAGGTTAGGAGGGACATGTGTAAAATAAGCTCAAGCAAGCAAAGTAATTCAAAATATGAAGGGACTGCCAGGTCAGACAAATTAACTTTGTTTTTTCACATAAAAAGGAGATGGGAAAAATATACAAATCAAATACAATGTTTTCTCTTTTATTTATTTATTTTTAAAATAAAACCTGACTGTATATTTCACACTTCTATTTAATGGGTTTTCAGCAGAGCTCAAATGAACTGCAGGAATAGCTGAAACACTGACCAGAAAATGTATTCATCTTGCAGTCTTTATTATCTCTCTGTAGTCCCAAAATACCAGCCCACAAGCTTGTTGGCTTTGCCTTATGTAAATAATCAGAAGCACTGTTTATAATGGGCTGTCTGCTCTGTAGGATAGGATTGATTTTCCTTTTTGAGACGAGCAGCATGTTCTGTATGGTATTAAAATGGTCTAAAACATTCTTTGCCATCAGAATCTCAGTAGCCAGAGTTACCTGTGCTCTGCATCACAGAGCCAAGCACTTTGTTATAGAGCAGCCTGTCAAAGCAGAAAGTACCAGTCCTGCTTAGGCTTTAGAAGTGGAAGACACATTAACTCTATTCTAAACTATCTGCAGTATTGAAAGTGGCAGTTTGTGTTACAGCTCAACAGGGTCAGGGATGGCTGGGTGCAGGAAACTCTTATCTCTACAATCTTGAGACAAATGGAACAACATGGGCTTAATTTCCTGAATCTGCACTTTCTGTCAAGTTTTTATGGCTGTTCCAACAGTCATGAAAACTTAAGCTTATTCCACAATACTGTAGAATTCTAAAAATAACCACCCACAAAGAATTATCTCAGTTCAGTCCATATTACATAGGAAAGCTGTAATGTCTGCTTCTGCAAAATCAGACCAGAAATTAAGGTTCAAAAAACTACTGTATGATTAATAACATCCCCCTCCAAAGAATTCCTATCTAAACTTCCTAGAGACAACATAAAGTGTGAAAATAAGCATTAAAATAAGTTTCTTATTAATACAGGTTAGAAAGCAAGAACTGGGATACAGCCAATTAAAACTACACCTCCTGTGTTCAAACTTGATCTTTAGTGTCACTAACATACCCACAAAGAAATAATTCCTGAATTTGTGTTAGGACTGTGGGTATGATACATCATATCAAATCCATTCCCAGTGCCAGCCAGCCAAAATCAAATGACAAAGAACTCTTTATTAAGAAATATTAAATCTTATTAATTAAAAAAAAGTCTGTGCAGGTTTTGATGGGCTGAGATCCTTAGATATCCACACACTCCAAATTGCAAACTGCAGAACAGAAGCACACTTTTATACATCATATGGGGATGGACTTTCACTCAGTTTTTCTCTTTTATCTGGGGAGAGCTGAAGGATTCAAATGACACTGAAGCCAAGTGCTCTATTAAATACTCAAGATCTAATCCTGATGCCATCTGCTATACTCATGTAAGATAGGAAAGTTTTCTCTTCAACATTCAGAAATCTGAGCAGAATGCAAAGAATGTCAAAGGTTGTTTCTGAATGCCACCACACCTGGATCAAAAATAGTCAGTGCTGCTGCCTATGGAATATGATCCTCCAGGAATATTAATGTGGTGAGAAAATGGCAGCTTTAAACTGGAGGATTTGACTTCAAAACCATCCATTCCTGCTAATTTACAGTCAAGTGAAGAAAGCACCGAATTATCACAGGTAATTGTAGGAAACAGTTACTAGGATGGGCCTGGTAGCTTTCCACACTAAATTTCACTCTTGTCCTCCAGGCAAAAGGAAATCTTTAGTGGTTTCCTAGTCCTGCAGTTAAGGCAAGCTGTCAGCTGACACAGGGACTGAAACAGCGAGTGATACAGCAATCCCAAACACCCTGCATCTCCAGAATACCTGTCCCCTCCAGGCAAACAGACCACAAGTTATCAAACTTCCACGTTTGTGCCAGAATCCCTCCCACCGCTTCCTGCAAGTGGAGAAACCACCTGTTCATCCGCCCTGCTGCCCTGCACGCAGATCTGGGCAGGCACAGCACACCCAGCAAAACGTTCAATATCTGCCCTCTAGCAACAGTTTAAGCAGAGCCTTTCATCTCCTCTCATCCCGTCTGTTTGTGTAGCTGCAAGCCCCGGGAATCCAAGCACGGAGCTCTGCCTTCCTTCTGGCTGTTCTCAAAGCACAGGGAGTTCTCTCTCTCCCAGCTGCAGTGCCTCCCCTCTCTCTGCCCTGAAAGGGAAGGGAGGAGGGTGGGGAAGGAGGATGTTCACTGCAGCCCTTCTTTCCCAAGGTGTCATTTCATTAAGTTCTCCTCTCTTTCACATACCATATAATCAGCTCCACATCACAGCATTCAAGACAGACTCTGAGACAGTGAATATTTCCACTGTAATGTTCTGGGGCTGTGTAAGTGCTCTCAGATGGTTCAAAACCTGCATGTCCTGTAACCATTCTGTGAAGCTTCCAGAACAATGTGTTCCACTTTTGGGGATGTTGTATCTATCCTCACAACCCCACTTTTTATTTTTTTTTTAATTCTTTTACAACAAAAGTGTGTATAACCACCGGGCTTTGCTATTTTACAACAAAAGTGTACAGAATTACTGGGCTTTGCAGCTGATTGTGCAACAGAGGCCACACACAGAGGCAGAGCAGTTCAAGACTCCAAATAGATTCCTTTATTTACAAATTTCTATAGCCCTGGACTGTTTCTCCCAGCAGTATTTGCAAATGTTTTTTTCCTAAAAGCCATTATACTCAAACTTCAGATCCAATGAACACATATAAAAGGGACACTACTTTTCTGTAAAATAGATTTTGAAATCGACTCAGTCTGATGCAAAACCCTGTCTGGATATTCTTAGCTGTTAGCTAACAATGACTAGCTCAAGTCAAACTCATTAAACTAAATTGACATAAACTCAGGCTAAACGCATTCCAGAGCATCCATAAAAGAGCTTGTCCCTGCTTAAATAAAGAAATTTAAAAGCTGATGTCATTACAAAGACGTGATTTATCATGGTGAAAACTGATCTTGAAAATACACATAGGGAAAGGCATTGTGTTCATGGAGCAGTCACAGTGGAGTGGTTTTATTTTGCCTCTGTAAGGCAGGACAACAACATCCAAGGGAAATAGCAGGGTAAGACATGGAGAAAAGAACATTTTATCACAGATGAACAGTAATCTTGTTCCTAACTCAGCTTTCTTTAAACACCTGCCTGACTTGGGTGGGTTTCAGTGGAGCCATGTGTACACTAAAATCACTGGTAACCTGCTTGTCAGAATTGAAGAGTATGAAAAACAAACAAGGCTGCAGCAGAACAGGGAGAGGCTTTCACATTGATAGGAAATATGAACACCAGTGATAACCCAACTGGGGAAAGTGAGTTCTGTATTTATATTAATTTATATTCAATAGGCATGTACAAATAACCCAAATCTCAGCTCAGTAAGGGTATTTTATGTCCTGTGCCTGAGATGAAAAATGTCAGAAATGGAAAGCTAAATGCAGCAGACAACTATGCTCACCAAGGCTGATTAGAAGAGGGGCTTTAAAAATGTTTATTTAATATATTAAAACGCTTGCTGTCAACACCTTTCATGCTATGTGCTTGAATATCCTTGATTAGGGTTTGTGCAGCTGTGGTTCTCACACTGAATTAATTTTGTAAATTGTGGTGAGATGATAGAAGTTTTCCAGCTGTGTAATCATTAATTAACTTGGCTGCATTTGAGTGGCTCCAACCCATGCTTGTCTGTGAAATACTCAACTCAGATAAAACATCACCTCTGTCTTCACTTGGTGCTTCTTGCAGAATGAAAACTCTTTTCCTGTTTTTTGTTGGTTGGTTTGTTTTATAAAGAAGTGGAAAAAAATCACTACAACTTATACCCTCATTTGTTTTCTTCCTGATGTCAAAGCCTGCTCTGTGAAACAGGAATCAGGGAGGCAAACAAGTAGGTTAAGGACTTAAACTGCAAAATAAATTACAGTCAGAACCATTTATTTCATTACTCCTCTAAGTGCTAGCACACTGATAGAGATTAGATGTTGCTAAGGGGCTTTCTGGAAGGACTTAAATTTGCAACTTTCTGTTCAGATTGGAATGGAGCAAGAGACTGAACTCTGAGTGCCTTGACATCTCTAACGAGTCTTCTTGAGAAGCTAATTTACATCTAATTAAGCAATGCTATTTTGTTACCTTATTCAAAGGCTGCTCCTTCCACTTCTACTGGGAGAGTGTCAGTCAAATACTCCATAATGATCCTGCCAAAGGTGGACATTGTGCCAGCAGGAATTACTGTCTGTCTCACTTTGCCTCTGTGGTGATGCACAAGCCAGGGCTCCCAATCAATATATGTATGACTGAACCTCGGATAATTGTTAAGCCTGATAAGGTCAGAGTTTATTTACACATGAGAATGTTCATTAACATAGTTTTGATTCAGCTGCTACTTCAAAAGAAACTAGAACTGCATTTCAGAAGAAGCTCAAGTCCTGGATTTAAATAATATTCAGCTTGTATAAGTAAAATCACTACGAGCATGGAAGGAAGAAATGTCATTTAAAAATCTCCAGACATCTGTAAGAAAATAATAATATGCACAGGGACTGACCAAAAAAAAAAAATTTCTTTTAGAAAAGTCTTAACTTATAGGATATTCTTAATTCCCTTTGAAGCTGATGTTAAATATGTGCTTAACTTTTTTGCCTACTCGGGGAATCAAATCAGCAGCATGATAAATAATTTCTGCCCAGGAGTCTGTTGGACCAAGGAACAGTTAAATTAAAGAAGTATCATGAATAAGTCATGTCATAACAAGAAGAACTGCTCACTCACACAGAACTACTTAAATTAATTAATCTTCAGTGGATCCCTGTTATTTAAACAAAGTAATGTGATTCTTTTGTTTTCCTAACTGGCAATTTCAAAGTATAGATTCTCATGCTGGACAATCTTGGAAAAGGCACCAGACTAAACTGGAGTAAAGCCAGACATTTGCCTTTGCAGCTCAGGAATTACACTGCCAAACTCAACCCAAATCCATCCATTTACCCTGTTTCTTCTGAATAGTCTGTAAGTTCAAGGTTTGTCACTAATGATGGGATTCCCCCCATTTACCTGGGAGGACATTCCATGGCATGGATAAAGGATGGCTTTGTCATCCTCTTCGGCCCCCTGGTCCAGGCAGTAGCCACTGGCTTTGCTGTTCCGCACCTACAACCAGAGCAGAATAAAACAGTTCAGGAGGAAATTAGTCCCTGCTTTAGTCCAGTCCAGCTAAATCTCAGCTGTGCTACAGCTGCTGAAACGAGTACTATGTAAATCTGCTCTCTGAGAGACACATGCTTCTCCTTCAGCTAGGACAGGGTGCCAGCAGTGAATCTGCTCCACGAAAAGACATTATTTGGGACAACCTGCTGTCTTTACACACCTGGGGTCAGAGTTACATTTTTGGCAATTATTCAAGGATCAGAACTTCCTAAAATTCACCCAAAGAAACCCAGGCCAAGTCTTGCTCCAAATTGCCACTGTGCAAACATAAATGTTGACCCCGTATATTGATAATGTGGCTTTACAAACAGGATAGGAGCTAGCCAGGATTGCTGTTGGATTTGATATACTTTTGTTTCTTCCTGTTGCTGATATAAAACCAAAAAAGCATCTGAAAATTTTTATTTGAACTGAAAATAGAGTACATTGTTGTGTACAGAAGTGACATAAAGCACATTTTATGAAAGGGCACAGGTTCAGAGATCCAAGGAAGTAAAGAATTCCTGTACGTCCCCAGACAAGGAGAATTTACAAGTCTATAAAAACTGGGATGGAGCTCTTGTGAAAACCCTTTCAGCCTTTCTCTTGAGGCTGGAAACATTACATACATACTTTGAACATAGAAGAACTTAATACATATCATAAACAAGAAGTTATTTAGACAGACACCTCAAAAGATTCAACAGGTCAGTTTTGGTTTAGACTGTGAAGTACCTGTCTGGCCACCCCTGTAATTTAGAAAAAGCTGCTGCATAAGGTGTCAGAAAAAAAATCAGTATATATTCCTTCATTTTATAGTGTACAAGCTTAACAGGGAATCCAATTGGACAAGGGGGCTCACCAACACCTGAATTTCAGGAGGTTTATTTTATGGCTTGGGTGCTATAAAGGCTAAAGAAGATGAAGGCAGCTTTATGAGGTGGCTTTAAAAAATGAGAATTGAGTCACTAGGAAATATATTTTTACTACTGTTTCAATCTGTTTCACATCTACTCAAAACACTTCTTCTCCATGAAACTCACAAAATCCAGACATCTTTTCATCCAGAAACATATTCAGAAGAGAAAGTACTTAACAACAAGCTCAATGTCATTTAGGATGAACCCTAAAGTAAGGCTGAAAGGGACCTGGACTGGTTTATACCAGGTAAATACCTTGTATGACTCTATTTTATTGAAAAATGTTAAATAATTTGATATTTGCATCACTGAACTTCCTGTTTGACTCAAGAACCTTCTATGTGACAGCTCAAGAGGAACAAACTTTGTTTTAGAGCCCAGATTGCTCAGGGTCTGGTGTAATTGACACAACATTGGCACTTCTGCCAATGTTCTTCACTGTTAGTGACCTTCTCAGAGCTGACAGACACCAACAGCTCCTCTTGAATTTACTGAATGCCTTTTCTCAGTTCCTGATGGGGATAGTTATATTGGGATGCAAAGTGATATTATGGAATAAATCTTGCATTTTGTATCAATGTCTCAAGTGCCTGACTTATTTTTATATGAAGTCAATCAACTGGAAGAGAAAGGAAGAGTCTCCATTTAGTTGTCTCGTGGGAAAATAGATTGCCTTCAGATTTAATTGCAGCTCATGCAGACAATTATTTTAGCTCTGTTGACCACTGACGTTTTCTTTATGATGTCTGTGGCATCTTACTTGGGAAAATGATTGCCTTAAACTTATGTGTCAGTATTTTAAAATGAGAGCCAAGGAGGCTGCATGTCACTGTCAGCAAGGATGACTTCACCTGCTGCCCTCCAACGAAAGGAATGGGGCTTCTCAAAGCCACCCTCCTTAGTGCTGGTTAAAAAGAGGGGAGTGTGGAGGGAGCAGAAATCATCTCCGAATAAAAGGTAAACTCCCAAGATAGGCCCCCCATGGAAAACGATGTTAGATAAGAAATTGTTTACTTAGAGTGACTAATACCAAGAAGCATCTCACCCCTCTGTAGACTCCTGTGTTATCTTTCTGTAATTCTAGTGGTCTATTTTTCTCTTAGATAATTGGTTCCTTTTTCCCAAAGTCTTTTGTAGATTGGTTAGCTATAGAATTCCTTAGTTAATTGGTTCAAATACAAAACCTTTAAAACCTATAAAAGGCCACTTGGAACCCCACCCATTGGATTTGCTGGACAGGACCCCCTTCGTAGAAGAAATAAAGATTCTATGGAATCTCCTCAGCAGCATCTCTCAGTCTCTCTCTCTGCTGGCTCAGAGGTACATGCAAGCCTGATTTCAGAAAGGAGCTGAAAGCCTGACTCTGAGCATTGCTTGCATTTGTACCTTGCAGCTGAGGACCGCCTGGGACTCCAGGGGAAGCTGTCCCTTGCAGGATAACTGACTCTGGCTGGAGCAGGCACTTTTGGGGTCTAACAAAGACCCCCACCCCGGCTACAGGGGAGGGCATTTTCGTTTCCATTGCTGTGCTGATGTGTAACTGCTCTGTACATCCTGAGAGCCAGCTCTGAAAGGAGAGGATTGCTCGAGTGCAGCTGAGATGTGTCCCCAGAGATGTACTGTACCTCTCCATAAGTGACTGTGTTGTTGTAAACCCTCATCTCAGGGTACACGTTCTCCAAGTACCACTTAAAGCTCCGGCACTGCAGCCGCTGTCGCAGAGCAATTCTCTCAGAAACGTCTCCAAAGTCAACTCCGGGGTTCTGCAAAGCAGAAAACAAATAAAGAAATCTCACTGCACTGGCTTTATGGTTGCTATCTTTACTGAAATCAAACTGGAGTTCATTTTGTTTGCCAAGCTGTATTTCCCTCTTTTCCTTCTTTTGTTTTAAGTAGCAGCTCATCAAACAGCTGCTGTTGAGTGCAGACAATAATTATTAATGAAAGCCAGTGGAAAAAGGAGCATAAAGAACAAGCAAAACCCAAAAATAAATCAAAATAATAAGAATACAATAAGAATGTTGCTGCTTACAGCAGTTCTAAGTGTTTGCAATCAATCTTGAGGCCTTTCAGATTCATTTAGAATTTAGGCAGTAATTCTGATCTAAAATATTGCAGCTTGGACATGCTTTACTCCAGTAAGAGATTTGAATATTCAGTAAAGTAAATGATGTCAGAATAGATCTGCTAAAACTTCAAAGCAAAGCTACTCAAAAAGTCATTAAGCTCCACTAAGCATTCATATAGACCAGCATCCAGTTTTTACTAGAACTGGAGCTCATTTGCAGACTTGAGCCATAGAAGGCAGTCGAACTCAAAACCTTTATAATTCTACTTCAGAATTTAATTCACGTTTAAATACAAATCCCATGAAAGACACAGGCTGGAAGATTGAAGTTAATATGAAGAAAGTCAGCCATTTAAAACTGGCTGGTCCTGAGATAGAGTCTGTTGATTTAAAGTGTTATAAATCATCACAGTTCAACATTAAGACAGTAAGAGTTACCTCATCCAGAAACCTTTTCTGACACTTTATTAATCAAATGGATTGAAACTGGGGAGTTTTGCATGACATCTCTCTGAAGTGCCCTGTGCTTTTCCTCCAGAAGAATATCTGTACATTTCACAGATTGTTCCTAATGCAGGGTTACAAAACAGCAGCAAATCTTAGCTCAGGGTTTATCAAGATCCCCAACAGATGCCTGATTTTCAGGAGAGAATACAAGTGCAATACTGAACAGGTTTTCCTATTTGCCACATAAAGAGTTTGCCATGCTCACTGCTGCTTGCTGATGCACGTTCTGTCAGGAGCCCTCAGAGCAGCATCCATTCAAATGAATGTTAATTTACGTAGTACTTGAGGCTGCGTGGAAGGAGAGCAATCCTCTGAGGCACTCAGTGCAATAAATCATTCAATGTAAGATTCTTTTATCACTAAAATTGCCGAGGAATAAATCATAAGTGGGGACGTACCAAGTATTTGGTTAACTGAAATAAAGCTGTGCTGACCTGCTGCTGAAGGTTACAGGAACGTGATCTTGCAGGTGTGCCAAGGCCATTTGCTGATCTAAATGTACATTATGCACACATTCTTAATGACCTCGATAATCTCAAAGTAACTTTGAGTTGTGAAAAAGATGGTGGGAGTTATAGAAGAGTTAATTTGGATCAGTTTTGTGGTGTGGGAAAATGCATGTTTTACCTGCCTCTTTTCTGCCCTATTTAAAATGAGGCAATACAGTGCCCTTCTTTTGCAGTGCTGTTTCTACAGAGCACAAGAGCAGCAAATTGAGCAGCTATGAAACAGCTGTGCTCACCCTCTGTGCCAGCTGCAGTCACCATGGGCAGGTTACAGTGTGATGCTACGAGAATGAGAGGTCCACAGGATTTACTTTGTGGACATATTCTTTTTAACCAGCTAGCCAAGTTTCTAATTCCCCTGCAGAAGGTTTTTGTGATAGCTTATGCCAGTACAATACTTCTGTCATCTGTACTGAATACTACAGTGAATAATGTCATGAACACTAACATCAGCTTCCTTTTCCTGAGAGCTAATAGGCTTATTTTTATGATGCACATTTTATCAATCAATCAATCAATTCATTTTATAGAAAGAAAATTTTAATGTTCAGTACTTCTGCTGATTTTATGTCTTTTATTGTAGATATGTCTGGGTTTTTTTAAAAGCTCTGCTGTATAGCTCAGTGCAGAAAACTGCATCAATAAGTAATCTGAGAGAGATTAAAGGAAATCATGTTTTGGTGTAAATGCTTATTTAAATATCATCTTTTCTCAGAATTCATTTGCACATGTCATCAAGCAAGCAAATTTACAGAGGTTAGTTTTTCATCTCCTAATTGAAAACTGACCATTTTAGCAAGTCTATTTTATGTGTGCAGGCAGGGCCAAAATGCCCATAAATCTTTAATGGACACTGCTCTGTCTTCCTCCTACTGTCACAGAAATCTTGTGTGGAAAAAGTGATGCAGTATTGCCTTTTGTTAAGGCAAAATAATTCTCTGCAGTTACCTGTTGAGCCAAAACAAGACTCCAAAAACACATTATGGAGACCTTGCACAGAGCATCCAATATTAAACAGCAGTGAGTGAATTTAGACCTGTGGGAATATCTGACATATTCAGAGATCCCGTGGACAAGGAGGAAACATTGCTCCTCTAGGTATGTGTATTTTAAAAACTGTAAGAGGAAAGAACAAAAACGGGGTGTCACTTATTAGCTAGGTACCAAAGTATGAGTAGATGTTTAGGACAGACTAAATCTAATTAAGTCTTTGACAAGACTCCCATGACTTTGATGAACTTAGGTCATAACTGAATATTCCCAAAGACTCTGCTGGGTTTGCATATTTTCTGGTTCTTATAGGAACATTCCTGTTCCAATTTGCTTCAGCTCTGGGCAAAGCCCTGCTGTAAGGGTTAACTAAACCATCCTTACCTACAGATCAGTCCATGTTACCCCTCAGCTGCTCTCCCTGTGCCCCTTCATATGAATAATTTGGATGCAAACACAGCCAAGGAATACAGCAACAGCCAGCTTCCACCTGGCTGGGATAACACATAAAACTCTTCTCTGCAAGAATTATGCTCAGTGCAGATGTAGCATGTGATAGACTTACAGAACAATGTGATAAACTGAACCTACAGTTTATCTAATATTTATATTACACGGGTTCCTAGAGGCTCCCACACGCCATCTACAATTCCTATGTGCAGTGGGAAGCAGAACGTGCCCACATTGCACCTCTCAGCCTGTGGACAATAAAGCTATTTCATGTGTGATTCTTTTATTGCATTTTTTTATGCTGGTGAGGTCTACTGAGTCTCACAATGAATGATGATATTTATTTATGGGCATTCCTGTCGTCCCCACCATTGTAGCATATGAACACCTCAGAGTTTAACGGCGCCCCAAATTAACGACTTCTGGGGGAGCACATAAACCTGAGACATTTTGCTCTGCTTAAATTATAAATCTGTGTCACTGCATACAACAGTCTGGACTGAGTGCACAACTAAACTTACACCAAGGAAGGAAGTTCACATGGCAGAACCCTCTGCACTGACCATGCACCAAAACACTTTCCCCAAGCTTAGCCCGGTGTAGTAACGCCCTTCACTCCAAGAGCCAGTTGGGAGCAGCTCCCCGCATCTCTGCCTCTGCTGAGGACAGTGTGAGCTGTACTCACTGCCATGGGGATGTTCCAGGCCATGTAGACGTGGGATTTGAAGTCATCCATCCAGACCTCGGCGGCGCGCAGGGCGTTGCGCTTTGCATAGTAGTCGATGTCGTTGTTGTAGGGCTTCTTGGTGCGCTCGATGTGCGCCACGCGCGAGCAGGGCAGCACCTCCATGCTGCCCCCGCACTGCCACACCTGGGGAGGCACACAAAACACACCCGTGGCTTCTTCTTCCCCTTCACAGGGCTTCTCTGCAGGTGCTGTGGGTAGGGTGTTTGCTAGGAGGAGGTGAGGGCGATGGAACAGGTCAAAGGGATCGCCTGATTTACCGCTGCAGGTGAGACTGAGGGGGATGCAGATGGCTGCGTTAGGTGCACGAGTTTAGTAGCCACAAAGAGACAAGTCCCTCACTGTGGGTACTGGAGTCAGGGAAAACAGCAATGTGAGTGTTCCCAGGCTACTCGAAGGAAAATAGAATGGAAATAATTAATAATAAAGTTGTACCTGGTGCTGTGGACACGGACAGTGTGTGTAAAACATGATGTTTTGGTAAAAGCATGTTTACAAGAGGTGCTGTTTTCCTTGGACCAATGAGCTGATCCTATTCTTGGTTTAGTGAACTAGTCTATAAAATGTGTGTACTTCTACAATAAACCACTCCTGGTTTCTGGAGTAAGCCATGCTGCTGTGCTCCTTCACCACTCTCTAGCAGACAGCAACAATTCACCATAATCTCACTGCTCTTGGGACCATCAGGCAGAGAACAAATTGTGAGGTGATAATTTCTGCCATGAGTGCTATTTTAAACTAATGCTACTGAAACGTCAACAAAAATCAGCTGTGTCATCATGGGGTGCTAGAAAGAGCTCTAAGGTCACCCCAGAGCCTTCTCTTCTCCAGACTAAACATCTGCAACTCTCTCAGACTGTCTCCACAGGAGACCTCTCATCATCTTATCTCTCTAGCCCTGAGCTGATGAAGGAGGCTAAAAGGGGCTGAGTGGAGACTGTATCACCCAGCCTGCCCAGACCCCATGGAACCCACACAATGCAATTTTCTCCCAGCTGATTATTTACTGTCTGAACTCCATGGCAGGGGACAACGAGGACTTGTCTCTTTTCATCACCAAGATCTGGAGTGAGGCAAATTGAGGGAGGCTTATGGATTCAGCTCCCACAGGTCTGCACCCAGTAGTAGAGTCTAGCTGAAGTAAATGAAAAATATTAAAATATAAGCAATAATTCAGTACTTTCCAAGGTTGCCTTTTGCTGAGAATAAAAGCACATTTTCATACAAGATCATTCCAGAGCTATTCTGGAGCAGTTCTCCACCTAACCTGCCTTCTCAAGGACAAAGATAAAGTGCTTGGGAAGTGGCAAATAAAATCTCCTCTGCTCTGGCTTTTCTTTTCTTAATACTATGTTAGGTAATATTTACTTGCTGCTTTCCAAACAGTTCTGTAGTAAATCACTGGCCACTGAAATTTACATTTGATAAATGGAATACACTGAGAAACACACTGCTCATAAATTTGGACTGACATATGCTGAAGATTTCTAGTACAAAGAGGAAGTGCTACCAGAAAAAAAAAATTAAAAAAAGGAAAGAAAAAGAATTAATTTTTTTTCACAATCAGAAGGAGAAATGAGTAGTATACTTTACTACTATTTGCCCAACCCAGCCTGGAAGTCAGCTATTTAATGCACAGCACATTTTCCTTTCTATTGATATGCCTAATGACCTTGTAACTCTTATTTATGTATTTTGGTACCAAGGGCAAGTACATTATCTGAGTGACAGATTTATTTCCTTTGAATGCCAGTGCTCACACAAACCTGAAAACGAAAAGGTACTAAACTGCAACATTAAAGAAAACAGTTTAGCTCATCTGTAAATTCAACACAAACAGTTATTTATCAGTGATAAATTCTCCACAGATGAAATCCACAGGGAACATAGACTTGAAGGGAACAGAATAAAAAAAGGCAGCAGCAGCCTCAGGCCAGATAACTCTCACTTCTCTGATGCTGGTGCTCAGCTCTCAGTATGGGTCTGGCTGTGGTGTGACTGCCCCATCCATAATCCCTTGCACTGCTTTCCACTGACACTCAGTCACTTCTTCCCTTTCCCCTCAGCCCAATTTTACTCTTTAAAGAGGCAACATCTGCTGAAGAGGAGGAAAGAAGGAAGGAAACAACCAGGAAATACTCAAGGAAATTTTTTCTTCCTTAGAAGATGCTGAAATTTACCCCAGATTACTTTTTTTTTCCCCCTGGGAATAGGTAACTTTTAACACCAGCAGGGGATGCTTCCCTGGATAAGAATGGTATTTCCAATCCCAAAGAAAGAGAACTGGATGTAGAGCACAGGGGGCAGGGAGTCAGAGAGTTGTGTATCACCAGGTGAACACCATTTCTCCACATCCCAGACAAATGTCACAGCTGCTCAGCTGTGGCCATTTCCTTCCAGGCCAGACAAGGTCTCCTGTTTTACTTGGAAGATCAGGTGCTGTTCAGTGGAGCACAGACGTGACTCAGGACCCCCACACCCTTTCAGCACATGGCTGAGTACAGGGTGAAGATCTTGTCTCCTTCCCTCCCAGCCCAATAATTACTTAAACTAAATAGAAAAGTTTCTGTAGCATAATCAAATATGTGCATCCAAAACTGAGCAAGATCCCAGCAGCTGAGAGCTATCATGTGAGATTTGGATGAATACTCGAGACTTGTGCTTGAAAGAGGAGGATGGGATGTTCAGCAGCACCTTCTCCTCTCTGCACACAGAGTTGAAAGGCATGTGAGATGCAGAAAACCATTGCCTGTCTGCTTCTAACGAAGGGTGAAAGAAGGAGGAAACTTTTACTGTATGAGTCAGGTAAGAGAGAGGTGAGTCAATGGCTGATCCTGAAATTAGTTGATTCCCCTCCTCTTTTCATTCTCAAAAATGCACTTAATGACCCATGTTAACAGTAGCAGACAACACATTTCTTTCCACATCAAATTATGAAATTATGCCAGGAAAATAATTACATGCCTCTGTAAAGCATTTATCAAGCAGGATCCTTAAACTACCTTACTGGGGGAAGCAAACTATTTCTAACTGTGAAGATAAAATGATGCCCAAGGCCCTCCAAAGTGGCACATTTCAGGCAATCAGAGAAAACTGCCTTCCATATCTACAGCTTATCTTCTGGGATAACAACACATTTCCAGCCCAAGTCATTCCTCTCATATGGAGCTGCCAATGTGTGTCACAGGGTTCATTTACTGAGCTGCTCCCCACAAGGCTGCACATCTCTGAAAATCCCACTCCACCTTCTTTTCCCCCATGGACAGACAAATCCCTTAGAGCAATTATTTTTTTTTTTTTGGCTTCACACTCATCAAACCTGTACTGTGGGGCAACAGCCCAGGCTCCATGGAAGGCCAGGAGCAGCAGCAAAGCAAAGTGTGTTCTCCTTGACTTGGTGCATCTGAGCAGCCCAGGAACTCAGCTTTGCCTCTGTGAGCATCACACTGTGAAACATTTTAAGACATGATCAAGTAATTCCAAGAGACACTCAATTTATTTGCTAATTGTAGCTAATTTCTAATTCCAGCACTGCTCTTTAGGCTGCTATAAACAAAATTGATAGCAATTTAAATGTTACCATAGCCGTGTTACCTTAGCATTTTTACTGCTAATTATCTCAATCAACTTTTCTATAAACAGACATATTAAGTATTGAGAAGAACAAGTACCCCCATCAGGAGTAAATTACAAACGGAGTGATAATGTTTGTGGCTTGCACTATAATGAGTTACTGACACTAATTATCAGCTATTCCTGTACACCTGAGGTGTGGCTGTGCTACAGGAAAATGTTTATTTATGCAGCAGCCAGCTGGACATCACATTTTATGCATCAGAGAAAATCTGAGATGAGGCTGTATCTTGTCTGCCATGGCCACAATTGTGCATTAGCAAAGTTCTCTGAAGGCAGGTTGGGTACATCAATTAGAAAGGCCAGTAAGGTGCCAAGCTTTAATTCTTGCCAAACAAGAATAAATTTTCCAAGGAAATGCATTTCTTCATAAGTACTTTCTGCTGAATATCAGAACCATCTTTATCGAGATTTAAAAAAATTAAAAGTTAAAAAGAGTTAAACAAGCCTGGCCACCACTAAGTAGGAACTAGAGCTGGCCAGAGTGCTGGGCTAATCAATTCCTAAATCTTGGCAATACACATAGAGAGAACATTGCTGATGTGGTCTCCTGCTCTGCAGGTGAGACTCGTTTCCAACAGCATCATGTCCTGCAGAGCAAATATCAGAGCTCAGAAATATCCTGGGATTTAATGTTTGCCAGTTTTAGCATTTTAAATATTATTCCTGGGATTTAATATTTGCCATTGGCATGAAAGCAGCTGCAGCTCCCAGGAGGCTCTCCCTGATTATAGGGAGGGCTCTTCCCTCTCCATGGACTTGGTGCTCTGTAAATTGAATATCATATTATTGTGTACATTGATGTGACTGCACAGGGTAATTTAATTTGGTACAGATGATCTCACTAAAAGCAAAATCAATAGGCAAAAATAAAAATGGCATCAGTATGAAGGAAAAGCTGGGGAGACAGTTTGAATTTTGAAAACTTAGACTGGAAGTAAAGACTGTGGTCCTGAAGAACTTTGTATCTTGCTGTGAATTCTGCAGTTTAAACACTCTGGTGCTCAGCGAGAGAGAAAAAGTCTCAGATTCTCAGTTACAACTTTTTTCCATCAAATAAACCTTTGATTCAAGCAGCTGGAGAGATGAGGTATCCCAGAATGGGTAACAGTGGAAAGGACATTTCAGAGTGTGGGGGATTTGCTTCCAAATAATCACCCTTTGCCAACACTTTCACACCCTCTTCATGGACACACCAATTCCATCCATTCCTCTCAACACCACAAGTCTATAGATGCCAAAGCAACTCCAGGTATTTGCAACATGTTGGTCTCTACCTCCTTTAAAGCCTGACTTTTCCAGGAGAGCTAGGGTTAGTCCAGCTTTTCTAATAGTGTAGAACATTGCACAATTAATGAAATTTTCAGTACCTTGAGGCTTTGAGCCCATTTTTCATAGGCAGCAATCTCCCTGGAGCTGTCACTGCACGATGTGCACAGGTGCTGTAGCAGCTTTGTGCTTTATCCCCTTCCAAGAACTTGTGGACATTTCAG